GGCCGATTCTTCAAATAATGACAACTGAACAAATATCTGAGTAGTTTTAAAAAAAATACTCTTTGAAAAACTCACAGATTTTTGGTTAGACACGTGCTGCTTTTTTCTAGTTTTTTTAAAAGAAAAACTTTGAATTCATTCGAAAATATGTCTTGAATTAAAAAACATACAAGTTGATAGGAATAGTACATACGTTCTTCTTAGAAGCATGAGATTTTTACGAATTCCACGTATTAAATATACCTGAATATTAAAACACCTTGTTTAGAGCCCATTAAGGTATATAATATCTTTGTGAATTACTTATTTTAGGCTTTATAAAAACCGCTCGTGCGACACAAAACACTTCAAAGGAATAGCTGTTTTGGACTTGAGATATTTTTATGTGAATGCTGAACGTGGCTGTCTTTTGCAAAAAGTTTAACTCTATTTAAAAAAAAACCCTCTGTATCTTGTCATTAATTTCTATTTACAATGGAATGTCTATTTCTATTGACCTATCACATCCTGGCCACTTCAAACAGAATGCACACAGAACAAATAGAAAAAAATCCTTTTAAATTCTAATCGGAACGTACGCTCTTTAATCTACCCGTGTACCCATCTGATTGGCCGTACGGCTGTCACGAACAGAATTCGCGTTTAAATGCACCGCTCCTATTGGTTAGGTCGATGCTCGAAATTCAAAATGTTTTCGTTATTATAGTGCCAGTTTTTTGTTGTCTTATTGGTGCATTTGAATTTAGTGGTTTCTAAACGTGTGAGAACGATTTCTAATTTGACATTTTAACGTATTAAGAACTGGTTTTATCAGTTCCTAAGAAAGAGTACCGTAAGACTTAAGAGGAAACTGTCATACGTTTTGATTAAATGAATCACTTACATATTAAAATAAGATAATTAAAATCTGTAGACCTACAACACCAATGGGTAAATCAAACAGAATAAGACCGAAATCATACTCAATTTTTATTATTGGATAAACGAATCAATTCACAAGTGGGGATCATGGCATCATCCAGAAGACTTGACCCTTGCCTAGGCATAAAACATTTTTTCCAATAAGTCTATTCAGGTATTTAAATGGAGCCCAATAGGGAAACATTCCATTTATACAAACATATAAGCTCTAACAACCAATAAGACTGCCCTTAATACCAATAAACACCTTTTTTATAATTATTATAATTTTCGTGAGATATTGTATTATGAAATAAAAATAATGATAAGTCATGTCTATGAGCTCCTTGACTCGCCGCCCGACCAGAACTAGACCCGAGCGTATGGTGGTTCGCGTTCCGCGCGCGCCTCTGAGAGACATCAGACCACCGCAGATGGGGCCCCAATAGGGCTGATGTCGATATGGAGCCACGGAAGTCTTTAGGTTCCCGGCTCGAGGTGCAGGAGTAGGAACGGGGTGGTTTTTAATGAGTAACACTGACACTACCCCTCGCCTCACCCGTGTGGGAGAAGTCATTGGATGATTTTCCCCCCCAAAAAAAAGTCTTGTCTATAGCCTCTAGCGTGGCTTGAAATTAGTCGAGTTCCTCGTCGATCAACTAGACCCTCTCCATTATCCAGAATCAAAATTGATATTTTATTCTCAACTCAATTTTGTTTAATACTCAACTTATAACCAATACACTAACAAGACTAAATACCAATAACAAATATCAACTATCTACTTTCAGCTTTCAAAGGTCATTCGCCAGACACATGACGTTGCATTGTTCTATAATACGAAACAAAGCGAAAACCGTTTTTCAATATGGCTACCTATAAACCTTCATACATAAGCTTCTGTGAGTATGTATGTGTATAACGCTGGATAGACGCATTATCTTCCATTAGCGGTACAAGGGATTAAATCTGACGTACAGCTCCACTGAATATAGTAGTTACCTACTCATATTTTTTAGTTTTAGTTTGTGTGTAGTTGAAGTTCTTTAGTTTAGTTTTGTGATTGGAGGGATATCTGATTGGATGGTTTTTGAAATTGGAATTGGGAATCTTATTTGAATGTTTCAAGTAGGTACTATTCTATTAACGAAATTATTTTGTGATATAAAAACGTGAATTAATTTAAATCATTCTCTTTCGAGTAATCACAATTTTCGCTCCCATTTCTCCCAACAAAATACCTCAACATTTCCACATCGCGCGTACCTACCTACCTACCTACCTACCCTCAGTTCTTCACAAAGCCATTCATCTTTCCATTCCAAATTTCGATTACGAACAAAATACCTAGCTGCGAAGAACAGTCGTACATTGTAATCGCGAACGCCGACCGATTTCCCGACCGTAGGGAAAAATACATTTCCCCGTTGCCAATGGCAACAAGGAAACAGATATTATACTTGGGGACGCCCCAGCCAACAACATAACTACCAGCAGTAGGTAGGTACCCCGTGCTAAAATGGGCATACATAGAATTTTATACTTGTGTGAGTTAGGTTTTTACGCATGCGTAGTTTTCGGTGAAAGTAGATAGATATTGAGGTTTTTAGGCCCTGCGGGGTGAGGTGCGGTCAGAGGGGGAAGGATGCCCTAATCTGTGTCCCTTTGAGGCTCCCGATTGGAATTTAGTAATCATATTAGATTTTAAATTACACGTGTTAGCAAGTTAAAAGGGTGGGGTTGGAAGCGCAATTTATTTCCTATTAGATAGTTGTTTGGGAGCCGGGGATGAGCGTGTACAACGTTATGTATAAATACGTTATTATGAACGGGTGTTTATGAGTTTGACTCCCTTGAGCAGATTTAAAAATAGTTCTCACATGAGCTTGTGGAGCAAGATTGGTGAAACGTAATTTTGTTGTTCCAATATTAGGTATTTAATTTTAAATTCATAATAACGAAAGCAAATATTCATATTTAACAATATTGTTTTAAATTAACAATAATAATTGCATGTATTTTTTATGAGTATTACTTTCTGTTATTCATTAACATAATATCATTTACATATACGTTTACTTAAATCAATCACAATTATATTATTAGACACGTCAATATTTCTCTTCAATCCATCCACACTATGCTTCTTGATAAGCCTATCAGGCTATTTATCCGACTCCAGAGCAGATACACCACTAGTATTACCACGTCGAAAAAGATGTGGTAATATTTGTAGTTCAGGTTTCCCTGAACCCGTCTCAAAAATTCCGTATAAATATGTTCCTCTACAAGGTACATATGTCTAGGTAACAGAGTTAGAAATTCACACATTCACAACTTTTGTGTCAAAGAAACTTTCCAGCTGGGAACTACGGCAGCACATAAATGTATTCACGACATACAACGTAGTATAAAGTCAGTCACTTTCTATGAATTTGTAAAGAAATATTAGATGCTTGTTCTTCCTTGGTATTATACCTGTGAACTCTGTACTTACTTTAGTACTTAAAAAAAGATAGAAAAAACATTCATTCAGCACCAGGCATGATGCAGCATAAATAAAATATAAGAAAGACAATAAAGGTGACAAGACAACAAAGACGAAAGTATAACTGGGTTTTTAAAAAAATCTCAGTAGTAGCACGGAGTCTGGAATTGTGCCCGGTATATGGCAATAGGCTCACCCCCTATTACATGGGGCTCATAACATAAATAGTAAAAGTGGGTGTTACATTGTAGTGGTATTAATGTGCACCTCTGCCTACCCCTTCGGGGATAAAAAGGCGTGAGTTATGTGACAACAAAGACAGTGAAAGTACTTATAAATCTATGTTAGTTCAAAATTATATTTAAGTAGATTATTGGTCCTTAAAAACAGTTTTCTATTATTGGCAGTCAAAGGCTTGAGCAATATAATAACCTTTTTGGTAGTCTTTTTACACATCGGGTTACATTATCGAAGTTTTCACACGGTTCTTTTTTTTCTTATTAATTATAGTCTATGTTCATCAGGGATAATGTAGGATTCCAACGGTAGAAGAATTTTTCAAATCGGTCCGGTTGTTTAGAAGCCTATTCAATTCAAACAAACAAGAATTCAAATCTTTCCTCTTTATAATATTAGTGTAAATAATGTAAAGTCAAAGTCAAAGCATTTATTTCAATTAAACCATAATTTGGTACTTTTGAAACGTCAACAAATACTAATAGTCTGTCAGTCAGTCCGTCAGTGAAGCTAGGTGAAGCTAAGTGCTCATTCCAAAATGTAGATTCGAATGGAGAAGAACGAGCAAGAAACTCCAAACGTTACTCTTTTTAAAAAAGTATGTTCTACAATGTCTCTGATACATATTCCAAAGAGCCAAATTATCTATCAATATAGATTTTCCAATCTTGATATTTTATTCAAAATTAGACCGAAATATGTACATACATAGGTTGTATTTACAACTTCTTAACTTACTAACCAACCACATGTGTCATGTGTCTACCACATTAAAATCTCGACGTTCTTGCAATTAATTTATCTCTCTCACTAATCAATGCTCTAACTTTTCTCACGGTCCATCCAGCCTTGAGTTTATACGAGGTTGGACGTAAACCGACTAGTTTTATACAAATAAAATTGCACCAAAAGCAACTCAGAATGATATATAAAGTCACCTTTCTGACGAATCATCAAGCAGATGAACAGATAGACAAAAACCTTCAACTTCCACTTATACCAGATAAATCTTAGCATCATTATCAAATCAGCCAATAAACGTTCACATAAATTCCAACATATAACATTTTAACACGCCTTTTTTATCCCCAAATGGGTAGGCACAGGTGCACATTACTGCACTTAATGCTACTGTACAATGTAACACCTACTTTTCACTATTAATGAACTTTTCATTATTAGAGTCCCATGTAGTAGGGAGTGAGCCTATTGCCATATACCGGGCACAATTCCAGACTCCATGTTTATTCTTAGATTTTGAAAAAATACCCAGTAATTCTTTGCCCGATCAGGGAATCGAAACCGACACCCTTTGCCTTTCGTTGAAGCAGTCAATAAATTCCAACATAAAATAATAATTCCAATCTTTCTACAGGTATCTTCAATCAACCGTGTTCTACGGAATCTAGCATCGCAAAAGGAGCAAGCGGCGTCGGCGCAGAACGATAGTGTTTATGAAAAGCTGAGGATGTTCAATGGTCAGGCGGCCACGGGCTGGTGGTACCCTGGACTACCAGCCGCACCAGCGGCACCTGCGATCCCTGCACCATTACCACCGCAGCTCAATAGAACACCTACTGAAGAACATAAAAGAGGTTTGGCACCTTTTCTACTCAAAAATTTTTGAAGACTTGAGGCCTTAGTACGAATTTCGTTTACGTTTAAAGTATTCGTAACGAGTACGCGTTCGGCACTCTGATTGGCCGGCAATAAACTCGTACTAATATATAATACTAATGCCTCTGGTGATGATTCAGTGCTCATTCTGGGATTTCAATGGGCAGTATAAGCTACCGATGTATCAATCGATCAATCTTAATTTTACATCACTACATATTATAAAACAAAGTCGCTATCTGCTGTCTGTCTGTCCCTATGTATGCTTAGATCTTTAAAACTCCTGTTTGGAAAAGAGTAACCTATGGAGTTTCTTGCTCGTTCTTCTCCATAGGAATCTACACCTTGGAATGAGCAAATAGCTTCACTTTTAAATTTTTATTGCTGACGTTCAAAAGTGCGTTCCTGGTCTAATTGAAATAAGTGATTTTGACTTTGACTTCTGACGCAACGGATTTTAGATAGAGTGATTCTTAAGGAAGGTTTATATGTATAATACATGCATATTACACCCGTGCGAAGCTGAGGCGGGTCGCTAGTCAGTATATAAAAAGGTAGAAAGGTTAGAAAAAATACAGAAGGAACTTAACTTGAATGTGTTAAACTTTTGTGAAAGTAGAAAAGTTATACGATCTGAGAATACTGTAGTAGATGTGTGATGGCGTTGGAGCATTTAAATCTCTGACATTTGAACTGAAATATTATGGTGTAAAAACATTATACGATTGTTTCCACAAATCCGAGAGTACAAATTAAGTTTGGTTCACTAACGAAAGTGCAGCAATATCATTTCTGAATGCTTTCAGCAGTTTCATGATAAAAATGTGTTACAAACATTTTTCCATTAGCAAATCGTGTTATAACGATTCAGCTTCCATGAACTCGATTTGTTAATCTCGATACAAACTAAACTACTCTATCAATCGATAAAAAGAACTATTCATGGTAAAAACACGAAAACTCGAAATTCGAAAATATAAATAACGCTTTCAGTTCCAACTTCAAACGGTTGTAGTGTAACATAGCTCTCCTCTAGTCGAGCGGAACATGTATCGACCGACGCCACTCTATCTATCGATATATCGATATGACGTGACGTGCCACGACACTGCTAGATGTTCTTTTCCTATTTCGCTTTGACGCCGTGTCGCGAGTCATGCCTTTGGGGACTACAGAGGCGTAGGGCTGACACTTGAGATCACAGGTAGGTCAGTCAAATTAGGTTTTGTAAAATAGCAAAATATTAAAAACACTTCACTCTTTAACACAGACTGATTTTGACATTACAGCCAATCTGATTATTTTCCAAAGTAAGAGATGTAACCATAGCTATGAATAGTAAAGATTTAATACTACAGGAGTTTCCACAATCATATTAAATCGTATGTACTTACAAAATATATAAGTACAAAACCCCACACACAACTCAAATGAATGAAGAAGAATAAGAAATAAATGAATACGTACATTTTACAAAGGCTACACTCCACAGTGTTATTAAAAACAAACCATATTTACAAGGCGAAACAATACTTTTTCCAGTTTTTGTATTGTGTGGGGCAGCCCTATAACCCCCTTTTCTTAGGGTGGGGGGAGGGTGTGAGTCGTTGTTACTCTGTTCCTTCCCAAACACCTCGGCTTGGGTTGTGGCCCACCAGATTATATGCCTCTTTTGTATTTTATTTGTATTTATGTACTTTCTATGTGTAGGTACCTACGTAAGTGTGAATGTATTAGTGTAATCTCGTTTGTGGTATACAAGGTTCAAGTTTCTTCGCTCATGGTAAGCTGGGCTTCGAATTTTGTTAGATAGGTTACTCGCTCATTGTTTGGATATGACTTTTAAAGCCATATCTATATCTTGAAGTCTCATAAACCGAAGTTGTCTGGAAAAAAATTGTCGTAGCTGCCTAAAAACTTCATCGAACAAAAAGCCTGTTCAAAAGTCATAAACAAATTCAGAAAGGCCCATAAACTTTCAGCCAGCTTACCCATTCCTCCCTAATTCTCGTATAAAACTAGAACTACCCACAAACTGTGTTCAGTCATCTCGTGGGACGGATGCTAATAAAGTCAGTCAAGTGAGACATCTCCTTTCAAAAATGACCTCAAGATCACAGGTCAGCTGTGCGGATTAACCCCTTGACTCCACACTCCTTCAAAGTGATGCCGTTCTTCTGATCCCGGACGTAAAGCGGGGAAATTAGAAGGTTTACTTAGAACTGGTGCTGGGAATCTGAATGTTAGAGTTTTGTAACAAGGGTAGGTAAAAGAAAGGATACTTGATGCGACTGTAGATAACTTTGTTCAGAACAAGACTTACTTCGATATTCTGCTACTTTTAAATGGTAGAATTGTTTTTTCGCTTCATGTATGAATGTTGTATGTGTTTGTAAGATAGGTACCTAAAAGACCAACAGTTCTATTTTGAAAAAGTAAGCCCAACTAAGAAGCCCTTTATCCTTACTTATTTTATAAATCGTAAAGTGACTACTGAACCGATTGCTTTGAAATTTTGCAGAGGTAAAGTTAGAAGTCTGGATTAAATAATAGGATACTTTTTATCCCGGAAAAATTTGATATTCCCGAGGGAAAACAAAAGTATTGGTATAGATGGCGCTGTGTGTGTGGCTACTTTTTATCCTTTTGTGACGCGAGCGAAGCCGCGGGTAAAAGCTATTTCATATAAATCAAACTAAACCTTTTGTTTTCCCCTGCTTAGTACTACAAAGTTTTTGTCGTAGGTACTTTTCACATGTGCGCGTTGTTTAGCCCCAATGTACGTGATCGGAATCCAAATATCAAACTGCCGACAACAGAGCTTCTTCGAGTATGTGACATTGAACACTTTTTTTTTCTTACTCTTCCTTGCTTTGAGACCAATTGGTGTGCTCCTCAAAATTCTCATAACATTTTATTTAGTTACCTAAAGTTTTTGAAGAAGAAATTATTGAATGGTATTCAAGAGTTTTTCGGCATCTTTTTGACTACTTCTCCTTTGCAATTTTTTCCGGATTGAATTTTCTTCGTTGCTTTAAATAGCTTACGACCTCTAGTAAACCACACAAGTAATTAATAGAATCAAACAAAATGAAATGACATTTTAATGGCAGTTATAAAATAACGGACAAAGGCCAGACATAGCTGGCAACACTATAAAATGGCGAATGCTTTTTACACTTCAAATATTACTGTGTTGTGTATATTTGTGGAGGGTGGCTCCGGCTTAATTAACTCCGGCACGGCATTCAGTTTTATAAATTCGATTTCGAAAGGTGGCTTGCTGAGCTGAAGTTACTAGGTAGGTATAAATATAGGAAAAATGCAACATTATGGATTCCCTTCATATTAATTTTACCGTTTATTATTGTGAAAATGTACTTAGACTATTAAAAAGTTAGTGTATATATGACAAGGAAAACTTTTCATCTTTGACAAAGAACAAAATGTAATGATGCGCTTTCCATCATCAATTTAAAACCATCTTTGACAACCTACACTATAAATAATACTTACGATGCGAGCACAAAAAATACCTGAATTTTAATATCGCTTTTCGCATTCATATTTACCTACGTTCATAGAGAAAATCGGGACCCGAAAAAAGGCTGCAATATAAACCTTTGATACATATATAGTACATAGTACCTAGACATATACCCGAATATATTTTAACGGCATATGTAAAGTACGGACCGGACCAATAGCGCCCGAACAAATATACGAAGGGGCAGTTTTTATTGCCCACGGCCCGTCAACCACGGCACAAATATGTTTTCACCAAAATTACGATTCCTTTTATCGTTTCATGAAATGTAATTATTATTTTAGTTTGAAGATTTGATGGTCCGAAGGTTATTATAATACTTTCCTTATATTATTTTAATGATGTATTTTCTGAGTCTTAAGTAGTATCTACCTGAGAATAATAAAATTTTCCTGGAATAGCTACATACAATTAATGGACTAAGCTCCTTAGGTTTGAATTCCTGTGGGAGTTATGATCGACAACACTTGCCGACTGTTTCATATCGAGCCACAACACATTTTTAATATTCGACGCACTGTTTTGCTCACGGTTGGGTAGCTTCGCCCAATGTTTCGGAAGTATACAAAATGGAAAAAAATATAAAACGCCCGATGTATTTTCGCACAAAAAGCTCTCTCGCGAGTGTGATTGACGCTCGTTGTATGTTACAGACTACATATCTATGTGTGGGTATGCATCGTGTTTTGATGTGTTACACGTTTTTTCCAAGTTTGTATGTAGCTACTGCGTTTTGCTGAACGCTTTTTTCCGTTGATTTGAGAGACATAGTCGACACAAACTGAGGTATTTTCGTGTTTAGCTATTTTCTCCTAGGTGCGTAAAAAGATGCTTTTTTATTTTATGTTTTGGAATACACAGCCGTTTTTTGCACATTAATTTGACATTTTTTACCTATTTAGCTATTGAAAATTCAAAACACACAAACAAAAACTCGAAACCACCAATTATGTTCTAGAACCAGTACCAAAACAAACATCAAACTATGTCTATGTGTATCTAATTCAACGAACCACATAAAATTGTCCAATATTTGCCCAGTGGAACATGGCTCAAATAATTGGACAAATTGTTTGTGTGTCGCTCTCTGATATACGTGTACACAATAGAATTAGCACAGTGGTGCAGAGACAAACACGCTGGCCACAATGGTTGGCGCTAATCAATCGCTAATATACTTGATGATCTTGGAACGATCATTGATTTGGGAGTAACGTTACAATAGTGATTAGATTAATACGTTAGACGGTTATTGTAATTGCAAACAATGCTTATACAATACTCATTGAGATTTAGAAAAGGTTTTTTAAGCAATCTATCTTTTCAACTGATTTTCTATTGATAAATTAATTCCATTTGCTTGATAAAGTTCAAAAAATAAGCTGTGTTTAAGAATTAGTGACCAAATGTCATCTAAGAAATACAGCCAGT